ACAGACACACTGATGCTGAATTACTAAAGAAAGTGCAGATTTGATTGTGAACAGTTTTAGCCTCATGCTTTGGATGCTTTGATAGAAGTTGTGTTATTTTCCTACTTACAGTTACAGCAGGGTTGCAACAGCAGACCATAAGATACTAACATGTTCCAGTTAGGTCATCCTGTGGTTTATTCACTGAATACAACCCTTCTCTCAATCACTGTAACAGAAATATTTCCCACACTATCTCTGTCTGTCTATCTGTAGTGTGTGTGGGATATTTAGTTTTGCACATTGCTAACTAAGTCACATGTAAAACAGTTTTTAAAGGGGCTCTGTATGTTTAGAAAACAGGAATGACAATCCTGTGAGCATGAGGCAAGACTGATACAACAAACTGGTATAATATACATTTACTCTGATTTTTACTTAAACTGCTGTTTGTCTAAATTTATGAAATATGTGATTAAAACTTGAGACATGTAAACTCTTTGACTCCAGAACAAGATCGGCTCGGGGAAGCTGATGGGCCCTAAAGGCGTGTCGGTGGACAGGAACGGCCACATCATCGTGGTGGACAACAAGGCCTGTTGCGTCTTCATCTTCCAGCTCAACGGCAAGCTGGTCACCAAGTTCGGTAACCGTGGCAACGGCGACAGGCAGTTTGCAGGTACACTCAATGGTAATATGTGCACTGCCCCTCCTACAGTCTTTCTCCGACCAACTCACACCTGCATGTGGAATGAGGATGAATGTGAAACCAGGAGCCATCAAGATCCCATCATCCTTCACTTCTGATTATGTTTTTATTTATATATATATTGTTTAGACAGAAGCTCTGTTAAAAAATATGGCAGGCTTAAAGGGTTATTACACAGAATAATAACTCAACTGTCCTAAAAACAGCATGTAGTGCCACCGATCATAGTCTAAATAAGTTTTAACAATCTTGTTTTGTCATTAAATTCATTTGGCAACTTATTAAATTGCATGTCTTCTAAAAACATATGTCATGAGGTTGTTTTCTAAACCAAACTGCTGCTGTTTCATTTTGACAAAATGGCATATATCTGAGACTTTGCTGTCTGTCTTTTTTAAGGGCCTCACTTTGCTGCTGTCAACAACAACAATGAAATCATTGTGACAGATTTCCACAACCACTCAGTCAAGGTAGGTGCAGTAGCAGAGCGGTGGAAGTGTTTTACAGGTATACAAGGTCTAGTTGTAAGAGAAAAAAGATGTGTAGTCCAGATTTTAGTCCTAAAAACGGAGGCTTGATTGATAGTCTCTGGTAGACATTTTTCCTTCCTCTATCGTAAAGTCTTGGGAGTTTTCCCCCACTAAGCGCCTGATCATCTAATTTTTATTATTAAATCCATTCTGTAGTTGATGTATTACTCATGTATTTTGTTTACTGTTTTGGCATCACTGTTTCCCAGTAATTTTAGATTACTGTCTCCATGCTACTTTCCCTTGAAAACCAACTTGTAGGTGTTCAACACAGAAGGAGAGTTCTTGTTGAAGTTTGGTTCTAACGGTGAGGGCAACGGCCAGTTCAACGCCCCCACAGGAGTGGCAGTGGATGTCAATGGAAACATCATAGTTGCAGACTGGGGCAACAGCAGGATACAGGTCAGTACAAGAACTCTCACCTTAAAGAGTCAAGAAACAACTAAGACTTTTAGTGTTGCTGCATTCACAGTTTCAGGACGTACAGGGTTTCACTTTATGTCTTTATGGCTAATTTATATTTCTTTATAGCTAATTTGAGCTGCTCCTGTCTGGGTGTCGATTTAGGGTCCCAAGAACCAGTTGGAACATATATAAGAAGTCCTTTATTCCCTGTGCCATACAGGCAATAAACACAGAATGACTGAACCAGGGAACACTACTGTTTTTGTGCTCTCTCTTACTATTTTTATAACTTATACCTCCTACCTGCCTGTTTACGTCATTGTAGTGTTGTCACGATACCAAAATCTTTGTTTCGGCACCGATACCAATATGAATTTCGATACTTTTCGGTACTTTTTCCTAAGGAAAAGTCCTTTTGGATACAAACCTTTAGAACAATAAATAGTAGGGGTGTAACTGTACCAAAAAAATCATGGTTCGGTAATTAATGAATTGAATCAATTTCAAAGTACCGGTATTTTCCAAATGCAGTATATTACCGTTTGGAATACTCTAGTACTGCGGTACTATTTTAGTACTGGTATACCGTGCAACACTACATCACTGTATCATATATATTGTCAGTTATACGTTTTTAATCCAGTGGTAGTGAGAACACAATACACTAATCCATGTAAAAAAAAGATGGTAGCCATCTCTGCCAAGTCAGTCTGCAGCCGATCCCGACACATAAGTGGACAAGGTCCAAAACCTGATCACATTTTATGGCTGAAACCTGTTTATTTATGATTAATAATGTTTGTGGTTTGATGTGACAAATTTTTTTACCAATTTTAGCAATAGTAACAAGCTAAGACACTGTTAATTAGGAAGTACTTGTTTGAAGACACTGGGAATTTATCATCAGCTTGTTTGAGGACATTAAGAGTGTGTATTTTTTTTTTTTTTTTTAGCTTAACAGAACCTACTAATGCCAAAGTGCTAGTAGGAATTAGAAATGCAAACCAAACAAAAGTTCGGGTCTCAGGAGGATATGGCGCTGACACTATTTTAGTGATGTTGCATTTTAGTCTGGTCAGGGTTTGAATCAAAATCTTGGAGTTATGTAAATGTTTTGTTAAAAACTTTGTTGTGATTTCTTCATATGTGCTGTATTGAATCTCTCTCTGTCTTTCTCAGGTGTTTGATGGCAGCGGTTCATTCCTGTCTTACATCAACACATCAGCAGACCCGCTGTACGGCCCGCAGGGACTGGCTCTCACCTCTGATGGACATGTTGTGGTTGCAGATTCTGGCAACCACTGCTTCAAAGTCTACCGCTACCTGCAGTAGCCCCTCTCTCTCAGCGCACAAAACTGTACAGTGTATATACAGACACACACGTACACAGAGACACATGCACTCATTAGTATGGCGCAACCGGCAGATTTGCACTCATCTACTCACCCATTCCTTCTTGAATCATGCTGTTGTTGTGCCATCTGTTTGACTGTGACATCCTGTTTGACCTCAGACGCTGAAGAAACAACAGAGGGAATAATTTGTGGTTTGAATGAAGTGAGAGGATGCGTGATACTCACTGACGGCTGCTGCTGATTGGTGCATTCATAACCTTGTTCACATTCCATCTGAATCTCACCGATTTGAAAAATAAAACTTTAGTATTGTAAATATGTTAGATATTTGATTTGCTGTGACATGGCAGGAGAACTGGAAAATGCACTTGTTTCTAAACATACTGGTTGGACACTGTGTTAAGTGAGATTTAAATTAAAGTAAAGACGTACCTTAGTCACCTGAAAATGAATGGGGATTCTATTTATAGCTCCAGTGACTGCAGCTTCCTGTTAAACGCTCTCAAGAGTCCTCACATTTTGCCTGTTCACTATAAAAGAAAATATTCCACCTACTGTAGGTAGCAGGGTATTTTAGAGCATGATTAGGCATCTCTGTGCATGTTTTTACTAATAAACACCAGAAAAGCTACTGTGCACAATATATTAATGTTTTAAGCTGACACTTAACAAAACCACCAAAATAAACTTTAAATGGAAAAACTGTTTCAATTACAATACTTCTATCTGTGTGTGGAAATGACTAGTCGATCTAATTTGTCATCATTTTAAATTAACACACACGTGGTTATCACAGTATGCAGATAACTTCTCCTGAATTGGTTTTTACGAACAAAACATAGTGTGTTTGTGTGTGCAAGACAAGTGTGATTGTGTGTATGTGTGTGTGTGTTGTTATCAATTAAGGTAAAAAAACAAAAACAAAAGCCACTTGATATGTTGTCTTACAAATCTGCTGTGATTATGTGCATTTGAATTAACAGCAGAAATGGTGGAAATAAACTCATCAGTGAAAAGGTTTGTTCATCATGCTGCAGTGCAGGGTGAATCAAAAGTCAGACACGGAGCTGCGATCACCTTCACTCCTTGCCATGTGCTCTTATGTCTTTCAAAAAAAATCTGTAGGACTACTAATAAGTTGTATTTTACTAAAAACAAATTGTCTATCCTCAAAAAAATGCAATATGTAGTTGAACAGTTGAGTTGTGTATTGTAAAAAAGCACTGTGCTCCTCTTAGAAAGCCTTAGTCAAAATTCATTTGTCTCCAAGCACACAGTTTTCAGCACTTCTTGTCCTGAATTTGGTCATCGATTTTCTACACAATCCTAGTAAATTATTTGTTTTCCATTGTCTTGTTTATATTTGTAATGCCAAATGGAATTAAAGTGCCCATAGGAAAGAATATTGTGTTGTGTTGTGTATCTGATTTTGTGGCAAACTTTCTGTGAGTTGTAATAAGCTGCATTTAGCATAATAGTATCTATCTGTTTGAAAACGGATACAAATCATGTTAGAAATGTAATCTGCATGTTCATAGTTCTAAATATCTCCTAGGTATCACAGGTGTTTTTATTCTCCCTGTAGAGATGATTGATCAGTGTTTTTATTTTCATGTGTCTCATGCAGACTCAGAGAAATTAATGACATTAAGGACCTTTTTATTATTGATTCCTGTCCTTATTTGAACATTGTATGTTATTAGACAGCAGAGGGCGTCAGGAAATCATAAGCTGTAGTCAAAGTAATGCTGCCTTCAATTACAGTCGGGAATTATATGACGACTGCAGCGAACACTACACTAACGGCCCCAAACGGTAGCAAACAAACATTTTCCTAAAGTGCACTCGACATGTGACGTTGCAGCATAAATAATCAACGTGATAAGTAGCTTTTCAAAATAAATAAACTTATCACACGTACCATCAACAGTTTTTTATCAACCAACATCCTCATATTCAGCACGGGGACGGCGGATACCTGGAGTTTACGAGGAGCTCTGAAGGCAGCAAAACATCCATCACAGTCTTCCGCGGGAAATTCAGTATCTACTACCTTAGCGTTTTCTTTCTTATTTGGATTGCAAACATAACAGCAGGGCTATAAAACATATTGCAACGCAAAACCTATCGTCAGTGGACGTTGCTGGTACAGCCAACGCAATAAAATGGTAAGCAAATGTTCACCTTAACCGGCAGTTGATGGGAAAGTGCTTCAGAGACGACCGACGGTAATGAGCAGGCTAGCATTAACAAGCTAGCTCTTAGCTAACATTAGCTTTAGCTAAGTTACCAATTGTCAGTAACGTTCCTAAATTAATATGCCATATTTATAAAGTCATACACTTGACAAGCCATTACCAATTTACGTGCCACTGTGTCAATGTCAGCGTTAATCCAGGACCTTTGTATTTACGTCACGTATTACTCCTGTATTGCTATGCCACCCATTTATGTAACGTTAGCTCGTAAGTGCTCATTACGTCCTTTAAAGGAGGACAGATGAATACTTGGACACATCAGAGGAAAGATGAACTTCTCTGTTGACTATCAGGGGGGAAACAGACCTTGTTAGGAGGTGTAGACTAGTAAAAACACGACGTACGTACAATGTCATGCAAGATTAGCCATAGTATGTTTTCTTCTTCGCCGGGTACATACTTGCTCAGTGCTGCCTGCAGTGGCTGGAAGCTGTATTACAACAACATGGATGTAAACCTAAAGATGTGCAATAAAGAGCTACCACAGCGTATATTAAACATGCATATTTCAGGGTGTTGCAAATGGTAGATATGCATTTTTACGTGTTCATGTTTTGTTCGTGACAGCATGCCAAATAGTGGGAAATCAACCCTCATACAGTGTTTATTGACCCATATTCTATTGCTGTGTAACTTAGTGGCATATTAGCTGCTGTTATTGAAGTTATCCAGGCCCTATGTTACATTAAACTATATGTTACAGTCAAAGAAGAAAGGACTAAGTCTGGAGGAGAAGAGAACTCGCATGATGGAGATCTTCTTTGAAACTGTGAGTTTTTTCATTGCCACATAACAGCCTAAAGTAGGAACCATATCAATATAATAGGAGGCCTCCATATCACCTTTGTGGGGCCTCAGTAGCTCACCTGATAGAACATGTGCCCCATGTACTAAGGCTAAGTCCTTTGCTTTTCCTACCCAGGGCTCTTTGCTGCATGTCGTCCCCTCTCTCTCTTACCACTTTCCTGTCACTGTTCATCTGTAATATACAATAAAACCAAAAAATGGCCAAGAACAAAATTGAAATTTTTGTAGGCTGCCTTAAATAGCTAACCCACAGATAATAACAACTAGAAAGACAGTCACATTACTGTATATATTAAAACAACAATTATGACTATAAATCCATAAATATGTCAGGTTTTTTTATCCCATTTCCAGAAAGCCCAAATTAAGTGCAGCCAAAAACCTAGATACAGAGACAGACTGAGATACATGTTAAATAGTTCCCTTTTCTATGATGCAATGACCACAAAAATCTTTTCCTTGAATATGTTCTCTCATTCTCTTTGCAGAAAGATGTGTTTCAGCTGAAAGACATTGAGAAGATCGCCCCTAAGACAAAGGGCATAGGTGAGTAACCATCGAGTTTTAGTAGAGAAACATTATTAACGCTGAATATTTTGAAGGGTCTGTCCACATGTGTCGAGCTGGTCAAGTGTTCAGATTGGCTGCATGTTTAACAGAATATGGTACAGTCTTTTCTTTGTGTGTTTCCCCTGCTGGTTGCAGGAGGGTTTTACAAGGAGGTGAATTATGTGCAGAGGTCTCTTCCTCGCCAAAACAAACAGACATGGTAATGAAAAGAGGTAAAAACCCTGAATAAAACAGTTGTAAGGTACAAATTGGCGTTTGTGTGATGCTGTTTGGCTCTTTGTGGAAGAGCTGCTAGCCCAGCACCTGCTAATGTGTCCTCAACTTTTTTCTCTGATAACTTAAGATCCAGACATTAGGGAGAGCCGAATTCTCCACAGATGTCACCTCATTTCCAAAACAAACAGACCCAATGATTTAAAACAGTAAAAACACTATATAAAGCAGTTTTACATAAAAAAAACAAGTGTTTCTCTGATGCAATTTGGCATGGCAGGGGCTGAGTCCGAGCTGCGGCTCAACTTTGCTCAGCTTGTTTCTCAAATAATTTAAGATCTAGATAGACAATGACTTAAATCCTTCATTTGGTTAAAACATATAGTTAAAAATAACCAATTTCAAAGGTCGTAAATATGTGGCTTAAAACTAGATAAATAGTCAACCACAACCACAACAGATGTGCAAAGGGATATTGCACCAGCGACAGGTGAGGTGACGGTAACTAAATGACATGGACTGTGTCCCTGATTAAAATATAGAGTTTTCTGGGTCTGAACGTTGTTGGAAACATTTTGGTTAATGTAAGTGCACGACTCAACAGAATATATTATATTGGTCAAGTTGTTTTTAGACATTTTAATGCACAAAAGTAACATTCTATATCTTAAAGTAAAATCCCATCAGTTTATACAGTCTGTCACAACAATGTCTGCACCCTCTTGCATTTTTGAAAACCTTGTGGTGACATACTTTCAACATGACCACGGCAACCAGGACTAGCTGTTGCCATCTTAACTGTATTTAGTCTGTATAAGTAAAACCAGACCTATCAATGGCAGCAATCTCAAAGTGCAGAAAACTGTTAAAAGCTTTTGGCTTTTAAATTAAACACATTCCCTCAGTGTCAACACGGAGCCTGACATTATGAGTATCCAGGGAACATTTATAAAAATATAGAGTTGGATTTTTAAGTGCTGCAGAGGAACAAAGCTGTGTTGTGTATGTTTGGGTGAAGTGGGGAGGGATTTTGTTTTAAAGTGGACATAACATTAATCTGGAGAAACTGGATCGTGTTGCTGTGATTAAAAGCACATGTTTTTGTCCCCCTTACTTGGGCATGATATAGTTACCGAGCGATGGGGGGAGGGGGCAACAAGAGATCTGCATTATGGGCAAATTTCCTGTAGAGAGGGAGAACTTGTGAGAAAAGGGGCCAAGGGAGTGATCTCAGCTACACTGAAGAAAGAGTGGTTATAACACGCTGGTAACTATTAACAGGCAGAATAGTTTGGAGCTAAGAGGGAGCAAAAAGCTATTTGAGCACATGAGCAGAAACAGGACTGCTCTGCAGACCTGCACATACAGAGTTTGGTTGATCCATCCAGAGTGCCTTTCATTTCCAATCCTCGTTTTTATTTTTGCTGTCGTTCAACATCCTCTCTGGACTCAGCACAGCTCAGCCCTTAACACAGCAGATAAGCTCTTTCAGTTTCACAGTGGACCGGCTTAGCAAACGTGTGGGAGTATCACATTTCACCGCTGACACTGTTCAAGATGGAACTCCTGCTCGATTACATCCTCTCATGCAGTGTTCTTTCAGATAAGCATAAAACGACCAGATAGGCTGCAGATGTGTGGGTTAAATTGTGTGAACGTTTGAGTGGTACGCTTCGCCAACAGAGAAAACGAGACCTGATGCTGACTTGTATCTTTTTAAATCCTCAGATTAGAATGCAAAATCGTATCTATCATCACATGCATTTTATGTTGCCTTAAGTCTTCTTAAACTTGTAACAATGATACCTCTACTATAAATCAGTCCGCTGCTAATTTAATCAGTAATCCATAAATAGCATGAACTGCTGGGAAGGCAGTGTAATACATAGAACATGAAGGATTGTGGATCTTTAATGTGTTCTTTCCCCTCTCTCCTGCTTTAAGCTCCCATGACTGTGAAGGATGTGCTGCAGAGCCTGGTGGATGACAACATGGTGGACTGTGAAAGAGTTGGTACATCCAACTACTACTGGGCCTTTCCCAGCAAGGCTCTGCACGCTCGCAAGCACAAACTGGAGGAGCTGCAAAAACAGGTGAGGACCGAGCGGCAACCTCAGAGGAGGAAAAATTAAGCCAACACTAACTGCCAAAAACTGCAGTTCCTTGAACGGCCACTTGAGGCTGGCTCCAGAAGCAAGTCAGCCCCCATAGACCTCCATATTATCATTTCAGAATTGACGACAACTGTACGGGGGGTGAATTCATATATAGGTCACCTGTTTACATTTTATTAAGGCTTAAAATGATGCACACTTTGAGTGACAGGCTGTCTGCCGATAGTGCTCTCCGCTGCTTCTTCTGGCGTATGTCCTTAGACCTTCAGCTCCGTTGAGGCAAGCCAGTCCAGTGTTTCATTGTCCAGGTCAATGAGGTCACCATTGCCATTCGTTGGCCAGTGTTTGGGGCAGCTCATTATTGTCTTTAATGTTGTAGATGTCCCTAAAGATAACACATTGAATACAGCACTTTGTGCTCTATGCAGCACAGAGACTGATGTGCAGCATTTCTTTAGAGGTTTTCCATTACAAACACATATAATTTATGAAAGGGGATGAAAGACTCAAGCGCATTTTCAAAGGTTGTTGTGTTTTTCTTTTCTAAGAGGACATTGCTCTCTGCAGTTTACAGTAAATGAGGTCAGCAGCATATGGCCCAGAAAGCACTTCTGGTAATAGAGAGCAAAGAGAGAAATGGGAAGTGATAGTGCTTAAATTATAGATGGGTTGTTTCATTATAGTGTTTTTGTTTCATTTTCAGGCTGTGTGCAGGTTCTGAAAAGGTTGAAAATGTATTAAATTCAATTTCATAAAAATTAGGAGCTAAAAGTTTGTTGAGTCTTAAATTTGGACTTGTGAGGTCTTACGTGCCACAAATATTCTCTCTAATTTAACTCATACATCATTTAATTTCTTTTTTCTTTTTTTAAATACGAGTCAAGCTCTTCTGCTTTAAAGTTCACATTTCTGATGTTACGAATCTTTAAACCTACCACTGAACCTGATATTGTCTTTCTCCTTTATACTTGCACTTAGCTGTTGGCAAAATGTAGATAAGCCTAACTGACTGGAATAATCATATTCCTACTAAAATTTTACCTCTGCACTGACTACATACTTTAACGTTATACTTGCCTACAATGCTTCAATAAGCAAAAAGATAATTTGTCAAAAAAATAGTCTCAAATTTGGTTAAAAAAAAACATCTGGAAAAGGTCCCAAACAGCATTAAAGTTAAGTGTCTTATACCTGCAGACACCCTGATTGTATTTCATATTTTTGATATTCAAAACAAACAGAAATTTTACATATATGCAATTATAATATTAGTAATTATTATTATTATTATTATTATTATTATTATTATTATTATTGTTATTATTATACTTTAGAACTGATACCACTCCCTTGTTGCGCTGGGTGGTGTTTGCGAGAGATCTGTTATCACGGAGAGTAACACTGCTGGTCTTTGTATCTCTCAGTGTCTGTTGTGCCCCACTTCCCTCTCCTGTTGCATGGCAGACAGATGGTGTGAGGGTGGTGACTCCTCAGAGAATGATGGCCACCAGATTTCTGGGACAGAAGTTAAATGATGTAGAGCAGCAATCTGCCACCAAATAATGACAAGTGCTTACACCATAAGCATTGCAATACACAGGCATGAATTACATGCCGCAGCAGATGATCAGTAGATTAACTGTGGACTCGTAATGTGGAATGTGACGGTTGAAATTATATTATCCATCAACACGGCAGTGCAAATGTGTTGTGGTGTTGTTGTTATGGCTCTATAAAGTACATATGAAGAAGTTGGAGTGTAATTTACACCCAGCTTCCTCTCTTTTTGCCATGTTTATTATTGAGCATTTACAGAACTGTCTTTAGCTATTAACATGAATAAAGTATTGGCCTCTAATGTGCTGGTGAGCAGTCATGAGCATTTCAGATTTAATAGGTGTATTATGGGCAGACATATGTGAAAAAACTGAGTATGAATCATTAAAATTTGAATGTAAATTATTCATATTCAGTAGTGACACACATTTCTGCCCAAAGTGTACACATAGCTTTACTAAAAGATGTCTACTCTCTGGAAGATGATGTGCTAACCAGTTTTCATTTGTTGCCTTTCAGGAGATGATTTGTTGTTCTCAGTAACTGTTTAACCACCTTTAATTTCAAACATCTATGTGAAGAACAGCAGTATTGATTTCATGGTGGAGTGCAGGAAAAACTAACGTAAGACTGTCTTTCTTTGAAGATTTCTGAGGCGAAGCAGCGGAAAGTGTCTGTAGAGAAAGCAGTTGAAAAGGCAAAAGTGGGACGTCAAGATACAGTAAGAATATTTTGATATGCTTCCCACCTTGTACGGAAACATGTATCTATTTTTTCAACATAAAGTGATTAAAATAAAAACAAGTATCCACTCATAAAAGAAATCTCATAGTAAGAATCTCATGTCTGTGTGTAGAAGGAGAGAAGTGCTCTGCTGAAGGACTTGAAGGCTTTGAGAGAGGAGCGAACTCAGCTGCAGGCCGAGTTGGAGAAGTACAGAGAATGTGACCCAGAGGTCGTCGAGGAGATGAGTGAGTACAGATGCAACATGACTGTTTTCTTGTTTTCCTTCACAAAGTCAGTTTTAAGCTTTAGCATCAGTCGAGTCAGCTACGATCACTGACCAAAGAAATCTAGCCCCCGTAAAATGTAATACAACCATATAAACCATAAATTCCCTCTGTTGAGACTAAGTCAGAGGGGTGGTGATCATTTTTCAGCTGTTGTTTGTGTTGTATGAAGCTGCAAAAGGTTAAATTACAGTCAATATTTTGTAACAATCTTCACAAAGGTGATGCTTGTTGCTACTCTGTTGGATTATGTTATATAGCACAAAAGTTTACGTTGATTTGTCTTTTCCTTATCTAACAAAGTTTAATCAGCTGTTGCCGCTGGATTGACAATGTGTGTGTTCTGTAACATGTATTTTGTGTGAGGTTTTGACAGTTGATAGAATCACCTGACAGTAAGGTTGTGGTTAGCTACTGTGGCTGCAAGCTTTGAGTGGTTTTTGCTCAAAAGAGAAAAAAAAGACTGAACAAAGACAAAGATGGAGACTGGATTTCAACGTCAGGTGGCTCGTCAAGGCAGAGTAGAGTTGGGCTACATCCAAAAAACAAAGCCCTTTGGAGCTTCTCCATGACTTAAACTACCATGAATTAAGCCCTCTTTCAACCAAGCAGTACTGTACAGTTTGGTTCGGTACGCATTTTTTCCGTTTCAGTTGTGAAAAGTTGTGGATGGTACCAATGGAAACGTTCCTTACTTTCCCCATTTTTGTTCCCCCCTCTGTTGGGGTACCTAGCACACAGATTCATTACTGAAGGTGGAGCTGTGAACACTGCAGTCTGCTGATTGCCTCTAGCAGCAGCTGTAGACGGAGAAAAAAATTATTTGATTCACTGGGATGACTGACGGCAACTTTAAAGGTGGAGCGTTTACATATAATCTCAATAAATAAGTTGAGGTGAACCCATCAACACACCTTAAATTCCAATTTGACAACTTTGACCTTTCCATTTGTTTCAATGTCTCTTTTGGATGACACATACTTTTAGTAATAAGTTGAACTTCAAGTGTTAAAAATATACTTGAATTTCGACTGGATTATGTGAACTGCATGTATTGTAATCCTCACTTGCAGTATTAAAAGCGTGTCAGAGCATCGTTCTGGTGCGCTATAACAACACGAAACCCCTGCTCCTGCCTAAGAAAGATTCAGTGCCCAAACTTGCTAGTGTTAAATATCCCATTGAGAGAGACTCCCTCCAGTCTGGTCTTTTTTTTTTGTTCCAAAAATGTTGGCGTGTAACCCCGTTCTGTGGGCAGCAAATGAGGTGCAGACAATCCCCTGTATCACAGGTGTAGACGAAACGCAGTAATTGTGGACAGAGCAGTGAATGACAACAACCCCTCCCACATTTTAGAGTACTGTCTGTGGTTGAAACGCTAAACTGATCCAGGGTCTAGGTACATGTCCGAAGGGGTTACTTTTGGTTGGCAAGGTACTATACCGAAAGTTTTTAGTGGACAGGAGGCTTCAGTGGTTTCTCATACAGTGAGTGCTGGACGGAGCTGTGACAACAACCCATCATACATTTAAGAGTATTGTCTGCGGTGGAAAAGCTAAACCGATGCAGCGTTCAGTGCAGAATAGATGCTTAGTGCCTTGTCACGCTGCTGGAATTTTTGTCATACTGTAAATGTGCAGTGCTCCTAAAAAAACTTGAACATTGGCTTGTCAGTAGCACGCTATTGTAATACTGCAATTATTGAAGCAGCCCTAAACAGAATTGTGGAGCTGGATTATGTTGGTGTACTCTCCTGCTGATTGTCAAATATAGGAGTGATAAACATGAGAACTTGGTACAGTTGGCAGACATTAACATTTTTGTGTTCAGCAGTCATCCAGCACAGACATACTGTAGGTACATTTCATTGTATTAATTAGGATCCTCATTAGTCGTATTTAAAGCAGTTGCTATCTTTTCTGGGGTCCGCACCAAACACAATATTCTATACATTGTAGTACATAATAACAAATACATCTCACCACCATAATAACAACATACAAAACACAATACACCATATTAATAGAAATGATACCAGGAAAAACCTTAAAAAAGCTTTGCTGCAATGAACTTGGCCACCGATCAAAATCACCCACTCACTGTGCTACAGAAAAAACATAAGCAGGAAGTGCACGCTTTACACCCTCAGATTTCCTCCTCACACGTTTCACTGAACGTCAGCCTGGACATTCAGACACCTCCAAATAAGGTGTGCTTCAAATGCACTTAAGAGATGTCGGGTTTCAGTTGCTTTAGCTTAGTTCAGTGGTAACCAGTGACACACATAATCATATTCACATGACGTGTGGACATACAAAAACAAATTCTATTCAACACAGTGAACTACAGTTAGTTTGCCCATGTCACACATGTTGGGTGATGACTTTGTGGTGCAGGTTGTGGTCACAGGAGTGTGCCATCGCACTGCTGAGTAGAAACATGTATTTTGTCTGTTAAGCAGCAGAGTCACAGTTTCTCACAGTTAAATTCAAACGCAAACAAGGAAATGAAAACTGATCACAACTGGTCACTTGAGATGCACTCTTATGTCAGTTTTAAATTGTTGGCTTGAACCACAAAGTGGTTTCATGCTGATGTATGACCTTACATGTGAACAGTGTGAATCTTCCTGCTGAAGTAGGTGTGTTTCTGGTGTGGTCTTGCACGTCGGTTTTATTACGGTAAATGAATCGTGTAACCCCTGCTCTCAGCTCAGAGAGTTTGGAGTTAAAAGCTTTTAAAAAGACGAAGCCAAGGCCACTGAGCACAACCTATTGACACACCTCTTCTACAGTATGTCCACACAATGCACACAGCTATTAGTGGTATTACAACAATCCTACACTGCCTTGAGTTCATGTTACCGCTGACCTGCGATAAAGAGGTGTGTTCCTTTATGTATACATGACATGTGAAGTGTCATAAAAGCATCTGGTATGTTTACCTGCACCTCCCAATGTTAGACCAAGCGTGCATTTAGTCTGCACACAAATCTGCAGTTATTTTTCATTCTAACATGACACGACTATTGTCTCGCCTACTGACAATGACAATCACATGCGCGCAAATTCCTGACTCATCTGCCTGTATACCAAATCAGATTTTTGAATTGAATTAAAAATAAGTTAAATTTTGTGGCTCAGGTGTAACAAGTTAAGATTAATGTTACAGCAATTTTACGATTAATGTGATTACATTCACTCATGAAGACTCATTTAGGTCGTAGTCTTCTATTATGCTGAAGGCAGCTGGACTTATTGTTCAGGTTGAGTGTCCAGTGCATTGACTGCATTTAACACAGTATGTCTTCATAATCATGTCCAAATTTATCTTGGAATTTAGCAACAAATGTTCTTAATTTGGATTTAAGTGTAAATAAAAAGTGAATTTAGATCACAACAGTTTACCAGCTAAATATTCTCTACACTATATATTATATTTGTTAAAATACAAAACAAAAGTTTGTATTAGCTTGGTGCCAAAACCAGCTAAAATCCAAAATGCTGTCATGTTTCGAAATGGACAAAGACATGTTTTTTGCTTTTAACTTATCATTATAAAGTAAATGTTGACTGCACAGTGTAATAGCTATAAAATAATGACATCATCGGCATTTAGGGTGGTTCCTCATAAGCCTCACTTTCAGCCTGTAATTTTTTTTTTTCTCTCTCTCTCTTTTCAGCATGTAATTCTGTTTGCCACCAGGTATAATGTCCCAGAAAGATGAAGGCTCGATTTATTTATTGGAAGTGCGTCAGCCATTGCTCAACCTCAGAAAGGGGATAGGGTATTATATATTATATTTCCCCCAGTAGCTATCAGTAACGGTCCCAGTTACAACCAAAGTAGTGCCTACTTCACACTACTTTAGCTGCTACTTTTGACTGTAGCTCTATTTTCCATTTGCCAAAATTTTTTGAAGCCTCCCAGATCAAAAGCCTCAGATCAAAGGTAAACCAGCACTGGCTCAGCTCTTGCAAATCGGCGGTTTTGTGCTATGCACAACCTGTTCCAGGACGCAAGCCCAGAGGCTCACAGATGCATTGCAGATACTGCATTGATATCTAGCATGCTAAATATTTGGACTTGTCGGGGACTTTGCTGGGCAACTAATTAGATTGAGAGTGGAAGATACAGATTGAACAGAGACAGAGACAAGAAGTGCTATCGTGCTTTCCAAGGTGTGTGTGTTTGAGAGGGAGAGAGGGGAGGTGGGCTATTGTACCTAATTACTCTGTAAGTTACCTCCCCTAATTTACAGAACTTGGAAGGCTGCTTTGCCACTTTCTGACTTTGATATTTTCTAGTAAGCACCCATGTGACCCCGTGTTGTGGTTCAGCCCACGCATCACATGCCATACTCATCGGGGATTCCTCTGGATGAACAATATTGTAGTGTGTGACGCCCTGTTGCTGGTCAGTCATGTCAGTCACAAACCACAACAACTTCAAGACTGCCAAGTACTAGACACCAACAGTAAAGAGCAGCAAACAAAAATTGTTGAAAGTTGTGTAGTGTGAACACTACAGCGATCGTCGTGTAGTGTGAACTTAGCTTCGCTGTGGAAACGCTACCTGGCAAAAGAAAAAGAGCTCCTTTGCTAGGCTCTCAGGAAAACAGAAAGTGATCTGGTTGTCTTTGTGACAGCGGCGCCAACAATAATACCACTTGGAAACGCTAGGGGGGGAATAGTTTAAAAGTTGTCTGTTTCAGCTTTGATGTTTTTATTTGGGTCCCAGAGAAATAACTTCATGAGCACATTGTTAGACCCTCTGCAGAAACTCAGCCTCTGGTGCCTGTGATAAAGTCACTGCCAAACTAAATCACTGCAACAGCTGTCGGAGTCCCAGTCCAAACCTCTCTGCTTTTTCTTTTTTTCTTTACTTTTTCTTTTTTGCTTTACAGCTATTGGAGCAAAGAAAGCATCTAAGAAGAATACAATTAAGTATAACACGTTGAG